CACCACAGATATCGAGTGAACAATGGCCGCACAACAATCAGTATTTGTAGTTAAAAAGTACAGAGGTTCGCTACCCCTTTCTTCACAGTCAGGTTAGATGTAGTAAAGATGCAGGACCTCAGAACCTCAACCCAAACTTCCATAGGGCCAAGCCTGGTTGCCTAAAGTACCTTCCCCAAGGTCACACAGACCCAAGGTCACACCGAACTCAGGCTCGAACCCCTGACCCACAAGTTCCCGTTTACGAATCCAGCAGCTAACGTCTAGACTACCAATGCCAGCTGTATTAACATTTAGAGTAACCCACTGTTCTACTGTTGACCACGTATCTACGGTTCTTGTATGAGACATATATCTCTATGGAATATGTATCTATGGTTCTTGTATGAGACACATATCTCTATGGAATATGTATCTACGGTTCTTGTATGAGACACATCTCTCTATGGAATATGTATCTATGGTTCTTGTATGAGACACATCTCTCTATGGAATATGTATCTACTGTTCTTGTATGAGACACATATCTCTATGGAATATGTATCTATGGTTCTTGTATGAGACACATCTCTCTATGGAATATGTATCTACTGTTCTTGTATGAGACACATATCTCTATGGAATATGTATCTATGGTTCTTGTATGAGACACATATCTCTATGGAATATGTATCTACGGTTCTTGTATGAGACATATATCTCTATGGAATATGTATCTGCGGTTCTTGTATGAGACATATATCTCTATGGAATATGTATCTACTTTTCTTGTATGAGACATATATCTCTATATAATATGTATCTACGGTTCTTGTATGAGACACATATCTCTATGGAATATGTATCTACTGTTCTTGTATGAGACACGTATCTCTATGGAATATGTATCTACGGTTCTTGTATGAGACATATATCTCTATGGAATATGTATCTGCGGTTCTTGTATGAGACATATATCTCTATGGAATATGTATCTACTTTTCTTGTATGAGACATATATCTCTATATAATATGTATCTACGGTTCTTGTATGAGACACATATCTCTATGGAATATGTATCTACGGTTCTTGTATGAGACACATCTCTCTATGGAATATGTATCTATGGTTCTTGTATGAGACACATCTCTCTATGGAATATGTATCTACTGTTCTTGTATGAGACACATATCTCTATGGAATATGTATCTATGGTTCTTGTATGAGACACATATCTCTATGGAATATGTATCTACGGTTCTTGTATGAGACACATCTCTCTATGGAATATGTATCTACGGTTCTTGTATGAGACACGTATCTCTATGGAATATGTATCTATGGTTCTTGTATGAGACACATCTCTCTATGGAATATGTATCTACTGTTCTTGTATGAGACACATATCTCTATGGAATATGTATCTATGGTTCTTGTATGAGACACATATCTCTATGGAATATGTATCTACGGTTCTTGTATGAGACATATATCTCTATGGAATATGTATCAACTGTTCTTGTATGAGACACGTATCTCTATGGAATATGTATCTCAGTTTTCCTGTTGAACACGTATCTAGTTCACTGTTCCCTCCATAGTTCAGAAATCCCAGAACATGCGACACAGCTCCTGCCACCTCCCTTCCTCCCTGGTCACCAAGGAGAAGTAAAACCTTTGATGTCCTTGGTGAGGTAGACCTTTGACCCTTACCTTTGATGTCCTTGGTGAGGTAGACCTTTGACCCTTACCTTTGATGTCCTTGGTGAGGTTGACCACCTGCAGCTTTGTGTTGATGACCTCCACGCTCTGAGTGTAGGGGTTGTAGCGTACGCTGAACGGGCGGGGGATGGTGGCGGCATATTGTCTGTGGACGGAGGAGGGGAGGAGTGAAGGAGGGGAGGAGTGAAGGAGGGGAGGAGTGAAGGAGGGGAGGAGTGAAGGAGGGGAGGAGTG